TAAAATAAGCTCATAAAGAAGAAGAACATTTTGAATTATTTACGAGAAAAATATATTTTAACAATTATAGAAAAAGTCAATGAATGACATGAAATATTAATAAGAGAAGCAATCATGAAAGATCTTGCTGTGTAATAATTGTAATTTTAAATCGATTTGCGATTAAATGATTGTGTACTTGATGTGAAATTACCGCAACTTAGGTACTTAAATTACATAATCTCTGCTGCTGGTAATACGCTGAGAAGATTGCACATGTGTGCAGAGTTTATAGTTTGCGCATGTTCAAGAGGATCTTAAGACATGATTCGATTATTTATGAAGTGCGTGATACAAAATTACATGCGCATCATTACTTATACGTTACTTCAAATTGTTGAAGCTAAATAATGTGCGCGTGATAAATAACGATTTATGCACAAGCAAACTAGTAATAACAAAGTTATCATTTATCGTTTAATATATAATAGAAAAAAATGTTATTATATCTTATACATAATAATAAATTAACGTTCTTCTATTAAAAATACTGTTATGTTTTATTTGACACTTCTGAATAGCAATAAATTAAACATGATAGAATTGCGTTTTCATAAACTCTGTGATGCGTAATTGCCGAATAATCTTATAAAGAATGATTTCCATGATCATTTCATTTCAAGATCGAAATATGAAACTATTAAATCAATGGTAATCCCGGATAATTTTTGAAGCAGTATTTCGCGCGTAGAAACGGGATCGTTTCATTAGCACAGCACAATGGCGGAGGTTGGATAAATGATGGGCAATAATGAAACATTAATGGCACAGTCAGTTTGAAATGACGATGCCAACTAGCTATTCAATACTATATTTCCCAGCCTCATTTCTGTTTCGTCGAATAACCGTTTTGATATTAATTTGCCATTACACGCAGGTACAATAAATATATTATTTCCGCAAATGATGACAAAGAATAGAGTAGCGATATAATAATCTATGCACAGTTAAATACTTAAATTTTATTATTATAATTCATTTTTCAAATGAAAAGATATTGAATCGTAAAAAAGCATAACATCTGATCTAAGTTGAAGCAATATAAAAGAATAACTTTATAAGTTTTAAAAGTATTAACCATTCGCATCTTTATCTTTGCATAATTGTTTCATAGAGATATATATTCCTAGCATTTTTCGTTATTAAATGATCAAGTTTATCTCCTATATTTTTAAATGCTTAAATGAATGTTTAAAGGTCGGTCAGGCACGTTAAAATTTTTATGAATTGAAATTTTATATTTTAAGTTGTTTTGTACAATTTTTTAATATTTAAAATAATGTCTCTCAAATTAAAAATATCTTATATTTTATGCGACTTAAATTATTGATCACATAAATATATTATTATGATTATGTTACTATTAAATACATAATAATAATAATTATTATTTTATTGCAGTGTCTGATTACAGCCTGACCTATAACGCGATTATTGATACAGCGCGTTCATAATATTTTTAAACATTAGTAAAAAAAGTTTGTTTCTTTCACCAGGTATCGACGCATATTTATCTGAATTTTCGTGAAAAGTAAATGCGAGTATCTTTCATCGTCGTCCACATTGTAACGCCAGCGAAAACAGCGGAAACGCCATGTTCGATGCGTTAGCTTGCGAAGCGGAACGATTGTGTTTGGATTGTCGAGCGGTTAAGCTGAAAAAGCCGCTCAACATCGAAAATGAATTTCCAAACGCGTATCGCATATTTTCTCCGACACTTTTATAGCTCAATGACGCGTATCGCGCAATGCGATGGGGCAAGCTCAATTCGCTAATACCAGCGTGACCGCAGACGGCTCTATCAGCCTGATGTTGAGCGGTTTCGCGGATCGGCAATTCAATATTGTGAGAATTGAGCAATGACAATTGAGAAATTAAAGGCAAGATGTATTAAATGAAACGTAAAACTTAATTTCCATCCGGAAATAAGATTTATTAGAGAGAATTTTTCTTTACCTTTTATTTTTCTACCTTTTATAAATAACAGACTTTGAAACTTCTTTATTTCCCAACAGGTTGAACAGAAATCTCTAATGCGATTCATTTTGCGTAATAGGAAGGACAGATTAATAAGAAGAATAATCAATTACAGTTTTAAATTAATTTTATCGCACATGGCTTGGCGCGTGATAATAATATCAATTAAATGATATGACATAATTGGCGAATTCATTTAAAAAAGAGATTGGCAGATGTATCATGTAATCTCATTAGCAACAAAGTAAAATGCGTTTTTACGATTTATTTTATAATACACAGATCTTTGATGATTCATGAGGCAGAATATTTTTTTCCGACTAATATTTCATACGCTTTCATCTGCACATCTATAAATCTAAAGAGATGCTTCTTCATTACAATATCTAACGATGCATTTGTGACGGATAACGAAAATGTCGACTTGGGTAATGCCGATATATAATGGCGGATAGGGTTTTACTTCCGAATGTGAAAAGCAACGAAAAAAAAGTACGTATCGGAGCGAAATCGAATTTCATCGCGTGGATGCGTAGCCGTAGTTCGTCAAAACGCTGCGTCCCACCCATGCGTAGATTTTAAAATCAAAGCGACCCGACACACGTTCTCGTTTTGTCTCCCTTGTCTATTTCGCTCGTTTACGAGCGAAAGTCGTTTGCGCCAATTTGATTTATCCTCTCTTTTTTTATTTATAATTCTATCGAACTTTCGCATCGCTGATCTTTATTGCCACTAACGCGCGAGCGTCCGTCTAAATCGGAAGCTTCCGGAAAAAGCGCACACGCGAAAAGCTATGCTGCACGCTAAATCTTCTCATGCTCAAAGGTGAAAAATATCAAGAGAAGGAGGAAGAGAAAAAAAGATGAAGAGACAAAATTAAAATATATACTGTTTAAATGTACAGTAAGCATTTATCATATACTCACCATTAGCATTGATTCCCATGGCATCCATCGAATCGGTAATGGAGGACGTCCTTCGACACGGAAGTAATCCGCCGCATATGCGCTTCGTCCGCTACCCAAATCAGATACTTTAACCGTACATCCGCGGCACACTAAACAATTTCTGAAAAAAATTCACAAATACTCGTCTCTTAATTTCTGTGAAGTACCTTTTTCATCCTACTGTGTAATATATACCAAAATATTTCCACTCGCGAATTTTAAACTGGAAAATAATAGAATTATTTTTTGATCAAATTAACACTTCCATTCTTTTTATTAACGCTGGCCATGAGATCTCTGCTAACTGTACAACTGTGCAATATTCTATCGGTTCGTATTGGTTCGTATACTGCTAAATGAATATGTTTGTACGTTCTATTTTTTATATTCTGTACGTGGCAGCCATATCAAAAACAAACAGAGTAGTTTATCGAAATATCGTGCGAGCATAACTAAACGCTAGTTTTCCAGTTTATGATTTTTTTTTCTGTACAGTTGGAAATAGATTTTAAATTGATATTTTTTTTAGTTTAATTCTTTATATCATTATAAATATATTCTACCTTTTAGTACATGTATCGACAAGACGTATCATAAAAAAATTATAAAATAATTGAAGAAAATTAACTTTAAAATGTTAGAAAAGAAATTCTTTAATAATTAACGGATGAATTTCTTCAATAAAATATAGTGACTGTGGATGACTGATGCAAGAAATCGCTTCTTGGAAGCTCACATTTAAGTAACTCACAATAGGTTCGTTGCGAGCATGTTCCAAACGACGGTCGTTCCAAGTTTCGCGCTGATTTGCGCGTAATCCTCGTCATTTATCGCGCTCTACGGTAAAGGAGTGATACGTGAGGGGATGGTTTAGCAGCTGCCACGACGCTTTTATTTTACGCGCACCGGTGGATATTTTCACACCCATTATCAACGTCTGCTTGATTTGCTGATAAGTTTTTCTATTTCTAATACCATAAAAATCTTGCTCGTTCTTTTTTTGTTCTCTCGAGCATTCAAATTTAATCAGGTATTACAATCAGTTGTATTACAATTTTGTTTACAATCGCTTCGAAATCGTGCAAATCTATGTATTATGTTAATGTATTATGTTAATTTATATAATTTCAGTTACACACACATACGAACACGCACGCGCGCACGCACGCACGCACGCACGCACGCACGCACACACACACACACACACACACACACACACACACACACACACACACACACATATGTACATTTCCGTTTGACGATAAGAATGATTGCGTGGGAATGCGAAAAGAATAGTTTTGTTGAAGTATTTGAAAGTTTAGATAGACTTACCTGAAAATAATTTTCTTAGACAAAGTAACATAACATACGTCAAAATAATTGTTTAGAATGTCAAAATATTTTGCAATATTATTCATTATCCTTGAGCATCCTACATAATCCAACGAAATTATTTTTAAATCTATTTATCTAAATTTTTAGATGCTCTAAAGTAAAATAATTCTTTCCATAACACGGGAAAAATTTATAAAAATGACAAAAGATGTCAAATATCTATTACGAGAAATATTCTAAGGAAATATATATGATATATTGAATTTGCGACACAAAAATAGATTTATTTTGGATTTATTATTCTTTATTTCCGTTTTGCCATTAGGAATAATTCTCAAACTTAATATCCATCGTTTATTTCTCAGTAGTAGAACTAATATTCGTCGGTTGCCGCATTCACCATTAGAATTTAACCCTGAACCCACTTCTATAAATCATGAATAAATTGCGCCCCTTTCGTCTAGCTTCTTGTACCTTCGCTAGAGTCGCGACAACGCGCTACGGGGCATGATAATTAAGGTTTACGATTAAAGTTAATAATTCGAACACACGGCCCAAACCCTTCCGGCAATGCCTATCTCATTCTCCCGCTTTTAATAGCTCTACCTACGATATTGGTTGTCGTGCCAGCGCTGCCGGCGCTGCTGGGTTTCAAGAGTTTCCAAATCGTATGGAGAGTGGAAAAGCACGATCTAGGGGTATGCGGAATCCATTACGTATATGGAAAGAGAATGAGACGATAAAACAATCGGCCGCCGTAATAAAGCAATCCCATTGTAATGCCCAGAGGCATGCTTTCGTGCGCTTACAAAAAGATCGAATAGAGTATGCATTTGTTTGTTTGTTTGCTTGTTTGATACATGAAACGATTCCGTCTAGCGATCATTGCGAATCACTGCAGACAAATTAAAGCATTCGTCTGGAAATTAAGATTGGTGAAATTCAATTGATTTTCGAACAAAGGATATAGGAGCAGTTATATTATAATCGAATGTATTATTTTTAATTATTTCACCTATTGAATATATGTAATTATTGTAATCATAAATATGCAAGGAAAATTGCGTGACTATATGGAAAAAACTAATCTCATATTAACAGATGTTGCATTAGTTTAATTGAAAATAATTCAATAACAGTAATAATAAAACAAACAATATTTTATTAAAATAAGAGCATAATATATTTATTTCATTAATATTACTTTCGAGTATGTGTGTTTTTGTGTGTGAATTAACAAGATTATTTTCAATTAGAGTAATGCTGTTAATACAACATTTTTTCCATCTATCAATTTTTCTTAATTTTAAAAACCAACATATAAAAAGTATTAATATCATATCTCAACAGTCTATTTGTTTCATTATGTATGAAAATGTTAAAAAATCGTCTCTTTCACATTTATAGCAACATAAAAAAAAAAGGAATTAGCTATAGTACATCGAGGATATTTCATTCTACACATTCGTTCTCATATAAGCTAATCGGGGCGAGAGGAAGATTGACGAGTTCTGTGGTACATGTATTTAGTTTCGCTTTCAAGACTGCAATAATATGGCAAACAACAACTTGCTCATTAATGAGCAAGCCCTCAAAGCAACTTATGGGAAACAGTGCACGCTTACCTTGTGGCGAGATCCCGATGCACGAAGTCCATTTCCTCGAGATACTTCATACCGGATGCTATTTGCGTGGCCATGTAAACCAATGTGCCGAAACTGCAACACGAAGAACGGGGTCGGTTACGCTGTGAAGTTTACTTGGAGAAACTCCTCGGTATACATAGAGGCGTTTGTAGCAAGCAATGCTACAAACAGCGGACGATCATACCAACTCAACCATAGTCACCAACATTTTTTGACGCAAGTAAAATAAGATATTCCCGTTACTTAAATTACTTTATAAACTAAATCAAGGAATCTAAATTAACTTGTCATGCTCTTTTCTTTCGCACATGAAGATATACTTTGTTTTTTATAATTAAGAATGACATGAATTATTACAATGAAAAATATATTTAAATATATTTTTCCCATACTATACTATTAAATTTATCATGTCAAATTATACTCAGTTTAAGTTATTTTTAACCATCTATATAGGTCGCTATTACTTAACGTCGTTTAATCAAACTAAAATCATAGTCAAACAATTTAAATTAAGAAAATGTATAAATTTGATTAAAATTTAATTTATTATTTGCTAAGCATATACGTTAATATGAACGTTGTATAATTTGAAACTAATCACAGAAATGGATTAATTTACATCTTAATACACATAAAAATTAAATAATAAAATGTTATTTAACTCAAGAAATTATTATCATTACTTCTTTATCTAATAGTGCAAGTTGGAAATAAATAAGACATAAGTGTATATTTGCTCAGTCTTAGAATTAAATATATATATATATATATAT